CACACACACACACACACACACACACACACACACACACACACACACACCAATTCCTTTCCCAGATTCATGACCTTTGGGTTTGTTCTGTGGCCTATTTAGTTTAATAAGAGCCATCTGTGTAACAACTGAATTGGGGCTACCCACTGGAGACCGGTGTAATCATCAGTAGTTACGCAACTGATTTCCCTCTCTCCAGATCTACCAGTAGCAAGTATTTCAGCATTGAAAGCAGTGAGGATCATGCAGGTACATAAGCATTAAGCCAGCACCACATAAGCCAAATGGAGAGGAATCCTATTGTACTACTCACCCAACCACCATCTCCGCATCCCCACCAATTACTGTAACAAAATACCCAACGAAAGCAGCTTAAGGAAGGAAGCATTTATTTTGGCTTACAGTTTGAAGAGATACAGTCCCTTATGGTGAGGGAAGTCATGCCAGCAAGACTCAGAGTTAGGAAGCAAAGGGAGATGAATTTTGATTTTCCACTCACTTTGTCCGTTTCACTCAGTGTAAGAACCCAAGTCATAAAATAGTGCCATCCACAATTAGGGTGGGTCTTCTCTCTTCAGTTAAACTTCATAGAGACATATCCAAAGGCATGTTTCCAGGGTGATTCTGATTCCACCCAAGTTGATAATCAAGACCAAGCATCACTAGTCTACCCCTGGCCAACCTGACACCCAAAACGCATCACTACATCATAGCATTCCACCTCTGGCCCCAAAATTCTCATTTTTATCTCACAATTCAAAATACATTTAGTCCCTCTCTAAAACTCTCCATAGTCTTTAGCAGTCCCAGCAGTGTTAAACAGTCCAAAGTCTTCTCTGAGACTCAAGGCAATCTCTTATTTGTGAACATCTATAAAATCCAAAACAACTTACAAAGTTTCAACAAACAGTGGCAAAGAAGAAACATTCCCATTCCCAACAGGAAGAGTGGGAATTACAACAAGAAAAGATGTGACCAAAGAAAGAACTACACCCAGCAGGGCAAACATCAAATCCTGCAGCTCTATGTCCAGCATCTGGAGCTCATGATGGAATCACATGGGTTTCCAAGGGCTTGAGGAGTCCCAGCCCTCCAGTGTTTCCATTTACAGTAGACATAGCTTCTCTCTTGGGCTGACACAGCTCCATGCTTGCGGCTTTCCTCAGGCGATGACCCACAGGTTCTGGCACCTCCAACATCCTGGGGTCCACACTGCAACTTAGACTTCACTTTTACATCTTCATGTAATAGCCTCTCTGGTCTAGCTTACAGAGACTCCAACCAAGCTACACATTCCCTGGTCTCAGCGCTTTCTGGAACTCTAATGTAAGTCTCCATGACTCCTCCACTCCTACATCTTTCACACTTGTATGCCAGTACCATGGGGGTGACACTACAGAGTTCTGCTGTGACCTGGCTCCCTTAGACTACAGGTATATTGGCCTGGGTGCTAACCATGGGCAAAGGCTTAAGGTAACTGTTTTCAAGAAGCAGAAAACAACATCAGCAGTTTATGCTTTTTCCTTTCAAATGAATTCATATTTTCACAAAACAGTGTATTTATTGGGCAAAGTCTTATCTTTAGGGAACCTTCCCTAATGTCTAATACAGAGCATAAGGTTTCTCTTTAATGTTGCTAATGTCTTTTAACAACTACTGCTGCTTTCTTTGCATCTGCCTTGCCTGCATCTTTAATTTTTTTCCTTTCCCTGCCAAGCTGATACATCTATCTTCTTTTGCCTCCTTTGTGCCTGGATACCTGGATGACAGCAGTAGTCAGTAAACATTACACAGCCTGAATGCTAAGCTTTCTTCAGATTTCTTCCACCAAGTGAATGAGTCCATTGCTTTAGATTCTAGCCTCACTCCAGTTCCTAGGATGTGGCACTGATGACATGGACTGATACCAGATTCTTTGCAAGGTTATCACACAAACGGCCTGTAGTTCAGTTTTCAATAATCTCTTTTTCTCTCCAAAACCCTGTGAGCCAGATCTCCACTATCCACATTTGTCTTGGCATTCTAGTTTTCCAAAACACCATTGGAATAGCCCACTTAACTCTATTTATAGCACTCTAAGGCTTCTCTAGCTCATAAGTCCAAACTCTTGGCTTTACATCAGTTCCAAATGCCTATGACCCACATGGCCAGGCTTAGCCACAACAGCCCAATTCTCAATATCAGTGTTCTGTTATGAACTACTTTAGTGGTTGCTGTGAAAAAATACCTGAGAAAAGGATTTATTTTGCCTCACAGTTTGACAGTCCAGTACCTCATGGCAGAGAAGCATGGGAGCAGGAACATGAAGCCATTGATAATGTTGTCAGGGAGCAGAAAGAGGAGAATGCTGGGAAATCACTGATTTTCTTCTTTTTGCTGGGTCTGGGACCCCAGTCCATGGGATGGTGCTGGCCATAGGCAAGATGGCTCTTTCCTCTTCAGTTCAAACATTTCTGAAACAGTATCATAGACACACCCAGAAGGGTGTTTCCACAGTGATTCTAAATCTATGACATTAACAATTAAAATTAACAATCACATCTACCAAGAACTTGAAGGCTGTTCCAATCAGTCCCCCCACAAACCTGAATCTGTGTTAGCAACTAAATAAATGCAGGGGGAAGATGTCTTATTCAGGCGATCTGGAGGTAGTGAATCTTAGTAGTCAGTGATGCACAAGGCACTTTAACGGGACCATTTCTAGTCAAAAGTCCTTGAGGCTCCTGTTGTTCATGACCAGCAGCTTTTGGAAATTAAAGTCAACTGAGCTAAACCATAAGAGAAGTGCTTTATTTAATGCTTTCATGGCATCGGTATCCTTTCCAGCCCTTTAGAGCTCTCTAAACCATAGAGAAGGAAAGAGAAAGAGAGAGAGAGAGAGAGAGAGAGAGAGAGAGAGAGAGAGAGAGAGACTTCTCATAACCACCAACAATCACTGATGCAAAGAGAAGCCAAACCAAAAAAGGGAAGGACAAAAACATAAAAACATACAAGGGGCAAACAAATGGAACAAAAGTTGGGAATGAAAAGGTTACCCGACTGCTGCCCTGCAATAAAAAAGAACAGGGAAGGCCAGAGCAAAACTCCTCTTGCTTCTTTCAAACAAAACTGGCAAAGCTTTATTTAGATCACCCAAAATAACATTTCATAGAAAAAGGAACTTTAACATTACATAGCCGAGTATGGCTGTAAAATCTCAAACAAGACAGGCAATGCTTTATTTAGAGCAACAAAAATAATGTTTCTGAGAAAGGGAACTGCTACAAGCAATGCATAGGTGCATGGTTCTCTTTTGCCATCAATATCAATTCCCTCAGAAATACTTTGAGAGTGCTTTGCGGCTTCCGAGCACCGACTAAGATCTGTTGAACAGAAAATAGTTTTCAAAACCATTTTTGTTTAACATTAACAAATAATCAAACAATGTGGTTCTTGCTAAACAACCAAGTGCGCTGTCTACCAGAACAATGCTTAACCTAAGTATACGTTCATGAACGTATCCCTATGAAGACAGCTATGGCTGTTTTTATCCTGCTAGCACACACAGCTTGTGTACCAGTGTGACTTTGGAATACGTTCAGGCACCCAGGAAGTAATTGTTACTTTTTTTTAAAAAAGTCATCAATTAATTAATTAATTAATAAAATCGACCCCCTCCCCATAGGCCTGGACCACCATGCTGAGCTCAGAAAGTAATTCTTAACAGAAATAATAGTATGTGAAGAACTCAAAAAACAGAGCTTGCTTCTGTCAGAGTACTCCCACCCAGGGTAGGTCTAGCATCATATTAACACTTCACCTGGGACCTAAAATATAAAGCCACATAGTGCAGCTGTTTTTTCAGAACCATCAAAAGTTTAATAAATTGCCCTGGGGTTCTTGGTGCTGTAGTGTGCCTCACAGGCAGCGACATAAGCCGACTCCGGGAAGAAGTCATCATGGTATTCTGCTAAAAACCTAGAAAAAGAATAATAAAAAAAGCACCAATGAACATCATACTAAGAACTGAACACCCTGAAGCTAAATATTAGCTTTCAGCCAATGAAATGTGAAAACATTTCAACATTTTTTTTGTACTAGAAGGAAAACATGATTCTATTGATTACTTCCACCATACTCATTTAAGTGGGTTCTGTCAATCACTACTCATCTGAATCTTTTCATCATTACTGTTACAGAACTGATTACATACATGCATTTGTGAAAAATAACCTCAATAAATCCTTTCCTGTTTTCCAAACTATAAAACCAATACATGACAAACTCAACTAAAAAACACTTAAGAAATTCACAAGGCTAATTATACAGACTAAGTTATACTGAAACTAAACAAAATAACCAATGTCAGTACTTTGCATACTCATTTGCTATACCAAAAGGTTAGTTACAAGTCTAGATGACAGTATCACCATTCAAAAGACTGCTATGTTCAAAGATGACTGTTACAATGTGGTGAGTCACTCAAGAGCCTGCAATACACTGGTGAAGGGACTTCAGGCTAGAGTCAGGCATGGTGGCTCATGCCTATGATTCAAGCATTTGGGAAGCTGAGATGGGAGGACCACTGTTTATGGCTATTTGGACTATGTTGTGATACCCCATCACAAAAGATTCAAAACAACAAAACAAAGCAAACAGATACACAAGATAGAAAGCAAAACAAATTCCAAGTGGATTTGCTCTAGGAGAAACATGCTGTGAAATCTCTCATGAACCACCCTGCTACCTCCCACTTGTCCAAATTTCTAAAACTGTTACACCTCTCTAAATAAGAAAACATGTCAAAAATCACTTGACAGTTAAGTACTTTTTTTTTCTGTTTGCACTTTCTTAAAGGTCAGTGTTGAGTTCCTTGATTCTAATTGTTGCCATTGTCTACTTTGTTTAAAGAATATTTTCATTTACTCTGAGGTTTATTTAGAAAACCTTCTATGTTATTTCCTAAAAGTCCTAACTTCTGCTTTGTATGAGGAATTTTTCAAAATCTGTAGGCTTCCCTACACTAACCTACAGTCTCTTCACACATGCTCAGTGCTATTTGCTTTTAGTAAACAAGATTGTAGGTTAAACAGAATTGTGAGTTTGTCTGAAGTATCATCTGGAAGGGAAAAGAATATTTTTAAAGCCAGTTTTCAGTAAAATGCTGGAAAGTGTAATTATGTCCAAGGATATCTTATTCAAAATTCCGATAGAAAAACACCTTTTCAAACTTTAAGACTGATGTCTCTAGTACTCTACTCTTGCAACTCTTAGATCAGTCAGAATTCGGCCCAGTAGAAGGAAAATGGCTCCCTTTCAGGTCAAGTAGCTAAGCTGACTGAGAGGGGCAAGGCAAAGACCAGCCTTGCAGGATAAGGTAAGGATGTATTTAACAGACATCTGGATGGCAGACGGACTCAGTGGCCAAAGGCATGAAGATAGGCATCAGAACCACTGGTCAAATATTCTATAAGATAAGAAAATGACTGGCTATATCAGGGGAAGAAATCAATACCTTTTTCTGAATTCATAAATGTTAGCACATACTCAGACTTATTTATTATCATTCTAGGCTAATACTTAAGTCAATTTATGTACAAACAACAAAAGAGGCCAAAGTTTACAGTACTCTAGAATAAAAATATAAAATGAATGTCAATCCTAAGTACTTCTTTGTCAGAAAATTCATTTTCTGCTTACAAGGTTATTCAGTTGGAATCTTCTAGTGACATAAAATCATTCCTCACCTCAGTATCATTGACCCAGAAACTGGACAAATGAAGGATAAAACAGACATGAAACCAACCAATAAACAAACCAAAAAAAAAATCCCATCATATCTTACCCTATTCAGTCAGAACATACCATGTATTCCGTATATAGAGCATACCACAGAGCTACCTCCCATGGGTGCTAACCTTAAGCCTTGGAAAGTCACATGTTTGCTGCTACAGGTAGGTGTGACAAGGTAATAAAAATACCTCAGAAAGAGATCAAAGTGCTTCAGTAAAGCCTTCAGATTCTTCTCAGAGAAGGACATCTTTCCAAGGATTTCTGGAAGTTTCACTGAATTGAAAACAAGAACAACAAAAAAATTGCAATCAACAGAAAGCCACAATGGGCAGGACTCATTGTGGGATCATCTGGGTTACTCTTCCTCCTTTGGGGACTAAAATTAGCATCTATGCTATCAAACAATCAGTTACTGAACAAAGGTAGAGTGGTCAAGTCTATGAAACTAAAGTATATCCAATGCTTTTTCTTTGGAGAGGAAACCAGGTTTCCACACTTACAAGATGTCCATAAGCCAAAAACCCTGTTTAAAAAAAAAAAGAGCCAAGTAATATGAGGCTGCCACCATGAGGCCTCATTTCCCTTTGACCATTCATAAGATGTGAATGAATAATTGCTAGGAGAGAGACATTTTCTTCAGTGGTGAAACCACTGGTAAATTGCCCTTGCTTCCTTCCTTAACCGTGTACCTATTAGCAACTCTAATAAAACACACACTCACTCACTCACTCCACATGGAAATAGAAGTATGAATAGTTGGGACAAGAGGTAATGGGGAGTGTGACTACTCTACGATCACTATGCATTCAAAAAAACACATGAAAATATCACAGGGTGTGATGGTTTGTATATGCTCAGCCCAGGGAGTGCCACTATTAGAAGGTGTGGCCCTGTTGGAGAAGGTGTGTCCTTGTGGGTATGGGCTATAAGACTCTCCTCCTAGCTGCCCAGAAGTCAGTATTCTGCTAGCTGCCTTCAGATGAAGACGTAGGACTCTCAGTTCCTCCTGCACCATGCCTGCCTGGATGCTGTCATGCTCCTGCCTTAATGATAGTGGATTGAACCTCTGAACCTGTAAGCCAGCCTCAATTAAATGTTTTCCTTATAAGAGTTGCCTTGGTCATGATGCCTGTTTACAGTAGTAAAACCCTAACTAAGACAGAAGTTGGTACCAGGGACTAGGGTATTGCTGTGATAGACTTGACCATGCTTTTGTTTGGAAGAATGTGGATTTTGGGACTTTGGATTTGGAAAGTGGTGGGGTGCTTTAGGATGGGCTTAATGGGCTATATCCTAGTAGGAATATCAAGTTTTGTTGCTGAGAGTAATTTGAACTGTGCATACCTGCCCAAGAGGGTTCAGTGGAGAAGAATTTCAGAATGTGGCATAGAGACTGTTTTTATGGTATTTTGGTAAAGAATGTAGCTGCTTTTTGCCCTTGTCTGAAGAGTCTACCAGAGGCTAAGGTAAAGAGACTCAGACTAATTGCACTGACAAAGGAAGTCTCAAAAAAGCCCAGAAGAAACTTTGTTTTCTGGTTAAGTCTCATTAAGAACATTTAGAACAAGTATAGCGAGTTTAGAAGGAAAAACATAAAACATATGGTTTCTATACTAATGGGGCACCAGGAAGTGAAATGGAGCTGAATCCTTTGTTCTAGGAGATAACAGGGATTTCGGGCAAGATCCTACCCAGCTAAATTCAGATCCAGGTATGGTGGTACACACCTTTAATCCCAGGAGATAACACCAAGCAGATCTCTGAGTTCAAGGCCAGCCTGGGACAGAGCAAGTTCTAAGTAAAAAAAAATGCTTAAGTCCGGGCATGGTGGTACACACCTTTAATCCTAGGAGACAGGCATGCAGATGTCTGAGTTCAAGGTCAATCTACAGAGCAAGATCCATGACAGCCAAGCTTAGGCAGTAAAGGAGTTAGAAAACAGAAAACTGGTGATAATGTAATAGAACAAGGGGGACATGTTCCAGCTCCTGCAAGCAGAACTCAGCAGCTTCAGTCATGTGGCTCTGGCTTTAGAATGAAAAATAGAAGGGACTACTGGGACAATTGATTCTAGTTCGCTGGAGCTAAGAAATTAGTGGTGATTAAGAAGTGACCAGTGTCACTGAGGTGAAATCTTCTGGGAAGTGTTTTCTCAGAGCACAAAGAAGCTGTGTTCCAGAGATAGCTAAGGTTGTACCTCGTGCTGCAGCAGACTTGGCAATGTCTAAGAGTAACCCAGGTGATACTGGCTTTGAAGGCATGAAAGTGTCATGAAGATTAGACGAAGCTTGGTACTGTGAGAGGCCACAGAAAGCCATTGGTGAAGGTGCAGCTTCAGTTGCAGTTGATGGCCCAGGACTGAAGGGGTCATGCAAAGGAGTTGAGGCTTGGCAACATGAAGAGAGCCTATGAGAGGCTATTGGTGAAGCCTAGTTGCAGAGGAAGTCCTCATTGTATTGGAGATGCCAGTACCATGGGATGATCACCAAGAACAGCAGCAGCAGTGGAGTAGATCAACCTGACCTTAGAGTGCTACAGAGGGCAGAGCTGGAGAAGTGACCCAATCCCTTTGGAGGAGCCCAGATCATATGTGGAGCCCAGATATTGGAATAAGAAGCTATGAAGTTGAAGTTTCCTTGGAGACCCCAAGATATTTGAGATGTCAGAGCCATAGGATATCTCCTGGGGAAAGCTGCTAACAGGGAGTGGGACCAGTCCAGGACAAAGAAGTGTGTTGGAGTCAACAAAGATGAAAAAGTAGCTGGAGATCTGAAGACTGCTTTGACATCAGACATGGAGATGCAGAGATTGGAGTTTTCCTAGCTGGTTTCCTGTCTTGCTTTGGAAATTACAATTAAGACATTGGATGAATCTCAGAAGAAACTTTGAACTTTGGACTTTTAACACTGTCCAGACTGCTACAGACTAGGGGGACTTTTGAAGCTGGACTAAATGTATTTTACATTATGCTATGTTTAGGTATAGCTTCCATAGACTCATAGGTTTGAAAAGGCTATGGGGGCCAGGGAGTGAAATGTGGTGGTTTGTATATGCTCATCCCAGGGAGTGGCACTATTACAAGGTGTGTCACTGTGGGTGTGGGCTTTAAGACTCTCGTCCTAGCTACCTGGAAGCCAACATTCTGCTAGTATCCTTCAGACAAAGATGTAGGACTCTCAGCTCTGCTGGGACTCTGCCATGCTCCCACCTTGATGATAATGGACTGAATTTCTGAACCTGTAAGCCAGCCCCAACTAAATGTTGAACTTATAAGATTTGCCTTGGTCATGTCTGTTCACGGCAGTAAAATCCTAATGAAGAAACAGTGAAAGCCACTATTATATGTAATTAATAGATGGTAATAAGAAAATAAAAACTGGACAAACATAAAGAATAAGGATTCTTACCAAATAATCGGAGCAAATGCTGTGCACCATAAATGTATGAGGGGGGAGGTGGCTGGTCTCCTGGCGGATAATTGTCAGGCACAAGTTTCCAAGACAGGACCTAGAAAAAACACCACTTAAATGTTTCTTTTATTCCAAATGGAGGCACTCCTAGATAGACTTCTAAATCTATGACAGTAAATCATATGAGACAATATTGCTACATAGTGAGCACAAGCCTATAAAAATAAATGTGAGGGTCAGAACGACTTAAAATTAGATTAACAAGATACTGGAGTTTAAACTTTGACAGTGCTTATCTTCTGGGGATACATTCCAGCTTGGTGTGGAAGGCATGCTGGCAGGATTGGGAGACTGGCAGCTCACACTACACCAAGTCAGGAAGCTGAGAGTGGGCAGAAAATCTGGCCAGTCTATAAAAACTAAAAGCTCAGTCCCAGTGACCGACATCCTCCAGCAAGCTCCACCTTCTAAAGGTTCTATAATCTTGCCCACCAGCACTAACAGCTAGGGACTTAGTGTTCAAAACCAGTTGACATTCACCCTACCACAACCACTTAGCCCACTTCCCTCAAACAGGAAATATTATGAAGAATATCTAGAGTCCCTAATTGCTGGCTCTTTGAGTCATATGGAAAGTTGAATCATCTCAGAATTGGATTCTCTGCCTTTACTTTGATTTTCAAAATACTAGATGGACTTGGGATTTTGGAGAAAGTGAGAGCTATCTTTCAGAACTCTCTGGTGAATTACTCTAGAAATACCTTAGTCTATCAGCAAACCAGAGCCTAGTTCCCTTTTGTTATGTCTAAAATCTATTACCACAGAAGAACCAATGTTGCAGGAAATCCTCTATGAGAAAAAGCAGAAGGGTGCCCATCCACAGAACAACACAAATGTCAGAACAACAGCACAGTCAACCAGAATAAAAGAAACTGAAGTTAACAAGTGTGCTGGGATGCCAGGAGAAAGGCCCCAGCTTCCTTTAAGCTTCTGTAGCCTTCATGTAGATTCCCCATCTCATCCTAGGCAGCCAGTTCTAACATCTTCACACCAAGCCAGCATCTAACCTGTTGCCCACACAGGAAACCTAGAATTGCCTCGGCATTGAGTGTTGCTCAGAGGGAAGAGATGGGCATTTGTAATTAGTACAGAGATTCTCAATGAGAACCAAAGTGCCTCTTAGCCAGCCATGTGTTCATCTAGCTCCTTCCCAAATACAATCAGCAATTGGTACGAGGAGAAAGGAACATGAGTGCTTTGGATAAATAGTCCTGGATAAAACTCAGCATGGAAGAGGTTCCTAATTAAAATCACTAAAGATTCCTGAGTCCCCAGAGCCGGCTGAACTCCATTGTTTACCACAAAGCATCCTGCTCCACCATTAACCACTAGATGGCAGCACTAACCCAAGTGGAAGTGGTCTTTGCCTGACTGAAAAGCTCCTGTTTTGTTGTTGTTTTTGTTTGTTTATTTTTTTTAAAGAAATACCATTTCCCATAAATACAAAGCCTTCACTGGCAAGGCATTCAAGTTAATGGGCTTAACGTCTAGCCTAATGCTGGCATTTAGGATGCTTTCAAAGGGATGGCTATTAGGGTTACTCTTCCCAGAGGAGAATCAGACATCATAAATAGAGCCTGCTGCTCACATCTTATCCAATTGTTTGATGCTTAGTTCTATATTGCCCCCAAACTATCCTTATGATTTTTTAAACTTTTTTTTATTGGATATTTTATTTACATTTCAGATGTAATCCCCTTTCCCCATTTCCCCCCACCCAGGAATCCCCTATCCCATCCCCCTTCCTGCTTCTATGAGGATATGCCCCCACCCACTCTCTCACTCACCCCTCCCATCCACGATTTCCCCCACACTGGGACATCCAGCCTTCACTGGACCAAGGACTTCCTCTCCCACCTATGCCTGACAATGTCATCCTCCCCAACATATACAGCTGGAGCCATGGGTCCCTTCCTATGTGCTCCAGGCTGGTGGTTTAGACCCTGGGAGCTCTGGTTGGTTGGTATTGTTGCCCTCCCGATGGGGCAGCAAACCCCTTCAGCTCCTTCAGTCTTCTCTCTCACTCCTCCATTGGGAACCCCATGATCAGCTCAATGGTTAGCTGTGATAGCCTTATGATTGCTGTTGAGGGATGGAGTGCTTAACTGGGAGCTTTGTCCTGAGACCCTGGTGTATGGAGTTCCTCCTCTAAAACGAGGAATCGCTTCAGATCCTAAGAAGCTATCCTTTTCCACCGTGGGGATTATGATTATCAGTCACACAGCTGCTGTATGTTTGGTCTGTAATGCTCCTGAGATACCTGATGCTCCCTCTGTGCAACACTCATTAGCTTCCCTCTAACTTAGTCCACTGAATGATAGTTTCTGCTGACTCTGTCCCATTTTGCTTCTTAATAAATTTGCTTGGCATAACAAATAGCCGATGAAAGACCACCTGACCCTAAACTTTCTTTTCTCTGTATTATATCCTCTTTACCTTCTGATCTCCCGATCCTCCCTTTTAGGACCCCATCACTAGAGAACAACCTGCTGATTCAGGTCACCTATAAAAGATTGAAAACTAAAAGAATATGTTTAGCTCATGCATATCATATACTGTTCATATTTCAGTGTCCACAATAATGGTTTACTGAGACACAGTGCACATCTGTCTCATTTATATATTATCTGGAGCTACTTTGCAGTTGATTCATCTTAATTGGCATCACATGGCCCACAAAACCTAAAATGTGTCCTCTTGGGTTCTGAAGAACAAAAGTTTTGATATGTTATACAGAATGTAAATACACGTATTTTAATAACTGAATGATCTTTAGGGTAAAAGATCATCATTATTGTAAAACAAGAGTCCTGGCAGTTTTCTCCAATTTGAAAACCGGAACACACTATTAAGCAGAAACCTCTCTCTTGTTCTGCTGCTATTTCTTGTAAAGTAACACGATATTTTGAGAACTTAGGATTTTAAGCAACCACGAAGGGTAAAAGAACCCTTGGAGTCGAACATCAAGCACCCTACCTCATTGATTTCATTGGTTCTTCTCCCTTCAAAGCCAGCAAATACAGCACTCCCATCCTTACTTGGAGTCAGAGGAATGGGGGAAGATGATCTGCTGTGTACAGGTGTCTCTGTCAAAGAGAGAGTTACAATCATTTACCCACAAAGTTACAGAGAGATCAAACCAGAGACACTCTTAGGACCCTGAAAAACACCAAATCCCAAATCGAAATCAATTCTCAAAAGCTACAAACCATTAACAAAAGGCAGCACCTGGTACTGAGATATATATATATATATATATATATATATATATATATATATATATGTATGTATGTATATGTATATATGTTACAACATGAGTCAACCTTGAGAAAATTATGCTAAGGTGAAAGGGATCCATCACATATCGTGATTCCATTCCTATATAATATGCAGAATAGGCAAACCAGAGAAAAAAGATTCATGGGCTCTAAAAGGGTGGGGGTGGGGGTGACTGCTAATGGGTATGTGCTTCTTGTTGGGAAGGGATTAACCATGTTTTGAAACCACGTTGTGAAACAAATGGTTTTGCAATCTAGTAATACATTAAAAGGCACTGGATTGGATACTTTTGGGAAGCTGTATGGTGTGTGGATTACAGCTCAACAAATTAGAAAAGTAAGGCGACTAAATTAGTCACTTTAAAACTTGGACTGGGTAGACAGCTCAGATGCTAAGAGCACTGGGTTCTCTTCAATCCCAGCATCCACCTGACAGATCACAACTCTCTGTAATTACAGTTCCAGGGGATCTGACACCCTCTTTTGTCTTCTGAGGGCACTAGGCACCGCCATGGTGCACAGACATATATACAGACAAAGCATCTATATACGGACAATAAAAATACATCTTAAAATTGATTAACTTTACATGTAATTTTTACCTAAATAACTAATGCCAAGAAAACACACCAGAGGCTGGGGTGAGAGTCACGGTGATAGTTCATGTTTTAGAATTTGTTTCTAAAAAGTGTTTTATTTCCTAATTAAACCTTCCCAGTTTTCATTCCACCAACTCGTCAATTGTGTAGATACATGCTACATTAGTCCATTAATATAAAATAGCGCAAACTGGCAAATCTAAAGTGCCAAGTAGACTGGTAGTTTCCAAGGGAGGTGGGGAAGGGCAGATGAAGATAGGACATATTTCTGCCCTTCTGTGATGAGAATATATGAACTGATGGTGGAGGTGGCTGCACAGTTCTAACTATACTAAAAATCACATTGAATAGGGAATTTGACAGCATGCTCTAAAAAAACCAGCATCTCATTTGAACACTTTAGTCAAACAGAAGTCTTTAAGGTAAGTTTTGAAAACAGGAACGGAAATAAAGCCATCAGTCTACTAGCACAATTCATCTTGAATATGTATAGAAAACATGGGATTGCAATAACTCCACCAGCTCACAAAAGTAGCAAAGAGGGAGGATAACAAATCAACCGTAAACAGAGAGCCCAGTCTTGCCTCCCCAGTTCTCACTAAACCACATAAGCCAGTTGCTTTTCCATCTTTCTGTGGATGTTTTCCTCTTCTACAAAGGAAGTAGCTTTATAGCAACCTGGGTGAGATCTGGCGAATAACACACACTTTATACATACTTAGGGAGGCTAACAACAAAAAGAAAAGTGGCCTTCCCCTGGCCTGGGGCTCTTAGGGCAAACTCACTCTTTTCCAAGTGCAGAAACAGCTTCGGCATGCTGGCAGATGTGTCCTGTTGCCGGCGCTTGGGCTGAGGTGAGGAGCTGCTCTCAGACAGCCTATCACAATTGGTGCTGTGCCGCGTGGACCGCCTGAGAGACTGCAGTGCTTCTGGCTCGGCTTTGCGCCTCTTGGGGGTGGCTGGTTCACCAGTAGCTGGCTGACTCTCTGTAGACTGTGGTGTGGATGGATTCAACAAAGGTGGGCTAGGAGACAGCTCCTCCTGGCTCCTGGGCAAGAAGGAGAGTGTCACTGGCAGCCTCTAAAGATCTGAGGGCTTCTACAAGGCCTCCTAAAGGCAGGTTCACCAATCAACTTGAGAGGGAGGTGACACACATGTATCTCCAAATATACTCAAACATACATTTTTCTTAAGCAGTTCCTAAATAAATGAGGTCACCATAACTCTGCAAGGCATGCATAACAAGGGCTCTGAGTGGAGAAGCAGAATTTGGCCCCAGCTCAGAAAGCAGTTGTCAAGGTTTGATGACAACAGTGTCAGTCTGGTGAGGGCCTGTCACACCTGAGGGCAGATATGCTATTCCCTAGTGGAGAGAGACCAGACATACTGCTAAGTGTCCTATGTCACATAGAACAGGCCCCAGGACAGAGAAACTCTGGTCTAATGAAAAGGACCACCACCCAATGTCTTCAGAATGTAAAAATTGTCAGGACTTGCGAATGGCACAAGTATGTCTAAGTCTATGCCAGACCCTGGGAATCATCAAGTGTGAAGCAAACCATTCATGGGGACTTCAACATGGGTCCCCAGTGAGTCTTGCTGACCTCTTGCCTGAAGCAAAAATGACATGGAGAAGGGAGGAGAGAGAGAGAGAGAGAGAGAGAGAGAGAGAGAGAGAGAGAGAGAGAGAGAAGGAGAAGCTGCCAAAGAGATGGTTGAGAGGCAGAGAACCATAAAAGACAGGAAGAAAGGTAGCTAATGCAGGGCCCAGAAAGTTATTTGTGACAAAGGAGGTAGTCTAGTAAAAGAACAGTAAATAAGAGTAGATGCTGGTTTAACATAGAGGGATGCTGCTGTTAATGCTGAAAAATGTGGTCCTCTGATCATGATATGACCACTGCCATCTTGGAATGGGAGCAGCTATGATGACCCACATGAGATCCTCATAACCACTTGTGAAAAGTGGCAGTTCTCCTAAGACACACGAGAGCTGCCCCCTCATGAGTATACCTAAACAGTTAATGCCTGCCGGCTCTTCTTCAGTGATATGGCTACCTGTAAGTAGCCCATGGTCCTGTAACTAGTCCCAGTTAAACTCATTCCCTCACTAAGCTAGACTTGATACACACCATTCAGGAAGAGAAGAGAAAGGACATGGCAGAGTGCCGTAGGAAAATTAAGGGAAAAGATTTTAGGTGAGGATGGATCCATCCTTGCAGGCCCTGCCAGAACAGAGAACAAACCATGCATGCACAGGCCCAGGAGGAAGTAAAGCAATAATAAAAGAGAAGTAGGGAACTAACCTACACTGAGAGTCAAAGGTTCCTGACCCTTTGTGAATGACATCATGAATCACTACCCACCAGGGAGACAGCCATTCATTTCATACTATGGATTTAAAGGCAAAAGACTCAGAAGAAGCTGACCCAGATCACATAACATCAAGCAAAGGATGTCAGTTGTACTTCCACTTTCTACCCTTCTGGTCCATGTTGCCTGGTAACTCTTTACTGTGTACTGAAAGATGAGACAGCTGCTCAGAATCCATTGATACTGTTTGTTATGGTTTGTATATGCTCAACTCAGGGAGTGGCACTATTAGAATATGTGGCCCTGTTGGAATAGGTGATCTTGTTAGAGTAGGTGTGGCACTGTGGGTGTGGGCTTTAAGACCCTCTTCCTAGCTGCCTGGAAGCCAGTACTCTGCTAGCAGCCTTCGGATGAAGATATAGAACTCTCAGTTCCTCCTGTACCACGGCTGCCTGGATGCTGCCATGCTCCCACCTTGATGATACTGGACTGAACCTCTGAACCTGTAAGCCAGCCCCAATTAAATGTTTTCCTTATAAGAGTTGCCTTGGTCATGATGTCTGTTCACAGCAGTAAAAACCTAACTAAGACAACGTTCTATTTACCTAGGGATCTTCTGCTCACCCACTCTTCTCTTGCTATGTAGTCCTGGCTAGCCTAGAACTCCCTGTAGAGACCATCTGTCCTCAAATTCATAGAAGCCCTTCTTCCTCAGCCTCTTGGATGCTAGGATGGCACATGCCATCATGCCTGGCTACATTGGAAGGCTTACTTGGGAAAATCTTTCACAATCATGAGAATGTGAATGATGATCTAGCTAAAGACGGGAGGAGGTGTCGGCGGAGGCACCAGTAAGTACATCCTACAATGTTTCCCTTCCTTTAGACATTTAGCCCACCATATCAGCAGATCAAATACTTCTACAAAGAAGTGAGCCAGGTCAGTGCTGACACTTGAGGGTTAAGATCCACTTCCATGTTGTCTAACTCACCTATTAGTTGTCGTGGTACTTTCCTTAATAGGAAGAAAAAATTTTGATGATGTCACCCTTTTATATTGCGTTTGTTCATATGGATAGAGCAAAACCAATGGGAGAGTATAATCAAAAGTTATTCGTAATCCATCCACCATCTCCTTACAAAGGTCAACACTAGGAAGATTGGGAAAGAAAAGATTAGAGATTAGAGACCAAGGAAAGTCATGGATATTTTCCAAACTTCATGATAAAGGTATATATTTTAAAGAGAGCAGATTTATCTTTATCTTTATTTTATTTTATTTTATTTTATTTTATTTTATTTTATTTTATTTTATTTCATTTTGAAACAGGGTCACCCTATGTAGCCCTGACTGGTGTAGACTCACTATGCAGACTAGGGTGAGGCCAAATTCATAGAGATCCATCTGCCTCTGCCTCCTTGAGTGCTGGGAATAAAGGTGGGTACTATCCAGCTGAGGGTAGACTTTTAAAACAGATAATCACTTACATATAAAAAGAATAAACATAGCCGGGCAATGGTGGCGCACGCCTTTAATCCCAGCACTTGGGAGGCAGAGGCAGGTGGATTTCTGAGTTTGAGGCTAGCCTGGTCTACAGAGTGAGTTCCAGGACAGCCAGGGCTATACAGAGAAACCCTGTCTTGAAAAACCAAAAAAAAAAAAAAAACAGAGAGAGAGAGAGAGAGAGAATAAACATAATATAGCAATGATAATAATAAAGAAATAGGGGAATATAGACCATAACATAAAGTGCAGGCAGTATGCTAATAACTTAAATGTATCCATAGTATATAAATGAACAGGTTCAATACAACCTGACACATCCCAGCAGCCAGGCCTCCTGGCTTCTGTTTCAACTATAATACTCTACCTCCCTAACACTGGTCCTGTCAAGTCGTGAGGGGATATCAGGATTCTGACTAGAATAAAGTGTTGTTTGGGGGTGGAGAGGAGGTGGATCAATGGGTAAAAGTGAATGCCGTGCAAATCTGGCAACCGGAATTTGGATCCCCAAAATCCACTTAAAAGTTAGATGTAGGGCTGGAGAGATGGCTCAGCTGTTAAGAGCACTGACTGCTCTTCCAGTGGTACTGAGCTCAATTCCCAGTAACCACATGATGTCTCACAACCACTTGCAATGGGATCTGATGCCCTCTTCTCGTGTGTCTGAAGGGAGCGACAGTGTACTCACATACATAAATCTTTTTTAAAAAAGCTAGATATAGTAGTGCACAAATCTTTAATTCCAGAGTTCCTGTGGGGAGACAAGATACCAAGATGGACACATCTCTGGAAATTCAAAGGCTACCTAGGATGGTGGACCCAGCAATGAACAACACCAGAGGGACTGTTTCTAACAAGGGGGAAGGTGAGAACTTATACCAGAGGTGGCCTTTAACCTTCAAATGTGTTTGTGCCATGGCACACATGCACTCATACCCATACATTAATTAATTTTTAAAAAGACCAGGCATAAGCAACCTTTGATCCAGTTTTCATGGCTGGCCTATTCTGCTTCGTCAAGTACATAGTTGTTCTCCAAAGTGGTATCCCTGAAAATGTTGGTCTTGCACGATCAAGGTAATGCATGATCAAGCTAGGTCTCATGTGGAATTATCAAATCCTTCAGCAAAGGCACAACAGTTTCCTAGTAGACCGATAACTGACCCAAATAATCCACAAATCAGCTATGAAATAAGAGACGAGTTCAATAGAGAACAGAGAAAAGGACCCCTAGTTCTAAACTGGAACACAGAAGGGAAAATCTGAGGGTACAGCCAAACGAAAAAGCACTTGCTTAGCATGCATGAGGGCTGAATTCGACCCTGAGTAGCAGCAAAACAGCTAACAATAATAACAACAAAACCAAACCCAAAGGCAGAATTCAAAGACTAAACACCCCCGTTACTCACTTCTTTTCTGCTGGGACATAGTGCACATTCATGTGTGCATGCATCATGGCATGATGGTGACGAGGCCTCTCATTGGCCGAAAAGGCTGCATTAATAGCAAAATGTTTCACATAGGATTCCAAAATTGTTATGATGTTGGTCTGGCATGGAAGTTTCACTAACTGTTAAGAAAAATAGAAACATCTGATACTCATATCCCATTATATTCAGACATATATTCCAAGCAGGAATAGCTATGGTTTTAGGAGTTTAACTCTGTCAATGCTGCTCAAGAACTTCTTAAATAAGTATATCTTGAAGATCTTTGATAATTTTCCCTTCCAAGGATCATACTCTCACATTACTATAGTCTTAATGTTTTAAATACAAAGAAGCAGTAATCCTCGGTCTTAAATGTTCTATTTTAAAAAAAACAACAGGAAAGCCTCTCAAAGTATATGCAAGAGAGGTCCACCTAACCCACTAACTAAATCCTAATCTATCCTTCAACTCTCTGAGTCCATAGGTCCTGGACCTCTCTATGTAGAGCAGGCTGGCCTTGAACTCACAGAGCTCTGACTCCTGAGTGCTGGGATTAAAGTGATCACATGAGCTATCAATCTTGGCTTAAATCCTAAATGTAGTTGAAACCCAGGTATCAGGATTCTGGAAAGCTCCCTGAAGGACTCAAATGGACAGCCTATGGTATATAACTCTTTAAGTTTTTACTTAAGTTAAGCAAGAACCCAGCACTACTGTTAGTCAACTTTAGAACTTGACCTAGCACAAAACTGGAAAGGAAACTACCATCCCTCCATGGTGCCTGGGTTTGACACATTGACCATGAAATGCAGCCAAAAAGAGACATCTGGAACAATCCATCCCTCCTGCATACCCGTTTCCTCCTGTTGATATAGTAACAGTCATCCTCAAGCTGCTTCTTGAGAACGTCAGGAATGTCTATAGTGATTGTTCTTTCATCCATGTCCTTTCTTGAACGCAGCGACAATACCTTTTTTTTCTGGAATATCACATTCCATTTTTAATTATTGAGAACAGTGAGAGAGGCTAACCCAATAAGAGTCTGCTAAGCTAGTTTATTCACAACTGTCATATCATGCCACATGTCCGCTGTTAAAAGACAAAGACATAAAGATACTCTGCCACATAGCTAAATGTTTGTCACAGCATTAACTACATTGAAAATTCACTTTTGTTTCTTCCTCATTTATGATTACCATTGGGGTTTATGTTCAATTTGGAGGCATGCAGAAGCCAATCTCTCTTATTCACCATTAAAAATTAGTCATTATGAAGTATAGCTTACAATCTTACTTAAAAAAAAAAGATATATAACTTGTGGAAACACTCTGTGGGTATAAAGAGTCAATTATATTCATACAACAGCCATAAACAGATGTCTTTTCTTGAAATGTCACAGGAAAATTTAAAACATTGGTCTGAAAAGTATATCTTTTGAAAAGAATTTCTAACCTGAAAATTTGGCCACTACTATATATACATTATATGTGTGTATCAAAGACAACATTTCTGTAGTTTCTATAATAAGAACGTTTTGGTACCGCTTTAGTCTTTACTTTAATACGACGTTGACGGTGTTCTTTTATTCCTCCATTCTTTTCTCCGCAACTTTCATGACAGGTGCTGCTTACTGCTACATAAAACAAAAATATCAGGCCAACTCACATTATACACTTTGACAATCCTTACAGTTACAAATTTTTAGGTGGTGCATGCACTTGACTAAGAAGAGTGGTCGGTAGTTCTGCATACATTTTAAATCCTAAACACAAATACTGTATCTTTCGTAACAGAAACTTATTTTGATAAATATAACTCCAATTTCAATGGATACAAAACTCACAGGAGCTAATGATCTGAAAGTACTTCACCAGCTAGGATCCTATGGTTCACTGTTGGATTCATAAGTGATGGCAAGGCCCTAGAGGTATCAAGAAGCAAATGGACTAAGAGAAAGGATTGTGTGGGCTTGCTGGCTGGGATGAAGGCGATTACTGGTAAGACTCTGATAGAGTCTTATCCCCACATGCTGACTGATCACAGTGACTGCAATTTTAATTGTCTAAAACAAACTGAGTGCATATTGCAAAGATGTTCTTTCACTTATGATGGAGTTATACCTAGATTGATGAAAATCACCTAGCTTACTGAACTTTAAATAGCTGACTGCTTTAAATATAGCCAGAGCACTTAGATTAGCTGACAATTGGGCAATCTCATGGAAATAAAGCTTACCTGGTGGGAGTACTACTATCTCATGCATTTTATTGCATGGTATACTGAAAGTGGAACATTTCATACCATCTCACAAGTCAACAAAATTCTTAAACAAGACCATCTGTATGGTATGAATGTGCACTGTTTCCCTGTCTATAATTTCAAGGACTCTTTCTCTCCATCCTAAGATATAAAAGGACTACATGAAAATGGATTTAGTTGAGGAAAGTAAAGTCAAAACACTCACAGTTTTCGTCATTTTTAGTTTTTTCTTTAACTGGCACACCTTTTAAGACAGAGTCGACACCAGGTAACCTACAGCGCCTCTTCTTTTTTCCTGTACCTCTCCTGAAAATGGCGAGCAAATCAAAATCAGACTTCATACTGGGACTTGGTATCCACAGAGGACATAATAAACAATAATTCTTAAAGATGTAGAAGATTAAATGTTAAAAACATCATGGTAGTCTCCACTACCAAATGAACAAGTTATTTTGAAAATATCTATGATACTTTAGAATACTATAGCAATGCTTCATTTACTTTAAATATGTAAGATCACTGAAATCTGTCATGTTATTATTTTTATATCGTAAAACAAAATCCAAACCAGGAAAAAAAAAAGGAAAAGCCATGCTAAATAACACTCCCATCAAAGTTTTTGTATCCTTACAGGCGAGCTATTGCTTTTTTGGCCAATTTGCGCTGTAATCTCCGATTTTCATCTGTATCATGTAGCACATGATCTTCAGCAGCCCATCTATCCCAACTGGTTGGAAAAAAAAAAAGAAGAGGATGTAAAAGTCAGTATTTTGAAACAAATGAAGCGTATGCTAAAAAGCATCATGAAGAAGTGGCCCAGACTTGCTGACATTTTAGAAAGCTATAAAAAGACTTCAAAACCACCAAGAGGATACCAATGAAGCACAAAGGGAACTCAGTCACCGCAACCAAGATTTCCAGTGATTACTCGTAGATCAGCCAAACATAACAGACTGTAAAATAATCATGCCTCAGAACAGGCAAGCTTTCCAAACAAAGCAGAAGCAGGAAATTAAACTTTTCTACAAGTGTTTCTAAAACTTAAAGTTACAAAATTATCTTGCTACAAAGGCGATTAACTCTAACTGTAACAAGTTCACTGACCTTCTGTTCCAACCATTAAAATGTATCAGATATTCTGGAATCTTTCTGCCCTTTTCGTCTTTCCCGATAATAACATCGATGATCTGAAACCAGGAAATACTACTCACGCGTGGCACAGCAAACCGAAAATTACTATATGTTGGGTAAAAAAAACTAGATCACAGTCCTTCTTAAAAAAGAAAAGAAAAGATAAGAAAGAAAGAAAGAAAGAAAGAAAGAAAGAAAGAAAGAAAGAAAGAAAGAAAGAAAGAAAGAAAGAAAGAAAGTATTCATTCCCCCTTTTAGATCAAGAGCTAGGTTGTAACATTCTTCAACATTTTTTTCCTCTTTTGCCCGAGTGGTTGCCTCAAAATAGGAAACATCCGTCCAACCATCCTAGGATTGGTCTCTTGAGTTTGAGACCGGGTGAAGCTTCTGAAGTCATTGGTCGGTGGATTTGTCATTAGCAAGGGCCCAGACTAGAAAGAACAGCCCTGAGACCTCTGGGAGTTGTAGTCACCTGGGCCTTGTCCGGCGTCCTGCCTAGCTAGCCAGAGACTTCCACAACACTTCCCCTTCCCTTAAAAGCCATGTATCCCCTGAGGGGATGTCTGGTACAAATGAAATGGTATATCCTTCCGTCTCCTAGCGATGTAGCAAGTTGGAGGGATAGCAATAGGAGGTAAACAGAATTAAGGATTGCAGGAGGAACCAAAGGTACACAAGCCCAGCACAGACATTGGGGTGTCCCACCGGACAGCACCGCTTAAACATTGCTAAAGACGCACCCGGTGCTGCTTCAAGTTGTCTCTGCCACCAAAGACTTAGATTTTGTGGCTGGAAACACTGACGCTGGCCCCGACCCCCAGCGCGCTGATTTTCACCTTCTTGGGGGCTCTGGAGCACTCAAGTGCCCACCCCTGCCCTCCACTTAAAAACTGACAACTATAAGACATAGCTCGGCCTGAGCTGAACGACCACGATACAGGCGAGACACAACTCTTTCCTAGCTCTGTTCGCCTCCCACCAATCTATTAGAAATCGATAGAACAACCTTGAGCCCCTCCCCCTCTCCCGATGACTATGATCCTAAATTCGAAGAGGGCCTGGGGACTACGACTTCACAAGCTGACAGTTGGAAATAACTGAGGACCAGGTTGAGGATGTGGGTAGGGAAATTGGTCAGGGTGTCCGCTAGGGAGCCCATGTGGCGAGGAGCCTCAGGGGATAAGGAGAGACTAATAGCAAAAGCAGAGGCCTCAGGCGACAATCCTCCTACATTGGGCACCCGGATTGGCGCCCAGCACTCAAACTGCCACCCTGGCCTAGCAACCGCGCCAGAGCGAAGGGACACGGCCGGAAGCGGAAGCATCACCGGTCCTTTCTAGTTAGGGCAGTCGCGCGCCTAGCGTGTCTCGCCAGCGTCCCCTGCCGTCCCGGGCCGCTCTACACAGGCCAAGGCACGCCCTGGTGACTGTCCAGGGCTCGGGGCCACTTGTCCTCCGCTGGCCCCTTTGCCTCCCATCCCTGGAACCCAGTCCCTCGTCTCCTCCCTGTCCCCCCGCGGCGGCACCTTGGCATCGTACAGCACTCGCGCCTTGGTGGGGTCAGGTTCGAAGCACAGCACTTTCTCCCCAGAGTGGAATTGAAATTTCATGCCCTCGCTCGCGCTCATTTGCTCATCGTGGCGGAGGGCGAGGCTCCGGGGCGGGCGGAGTGCGCGCGGTGGGGGAGGACGGCCGGGGAGGCGGCGCTCCGCCACCGGGGGGGCCCGGGAGTGGTGGAGGCTACGACCGCCCCGCCCTCGGCCCCTCCTCCGGCCACCCCGCGCCACTGAGAGGACCTTGGCAGTGGCGAAGGAGGCGCGCGGCCCCGCCAGGGCTTGTCCCCGCCCGTCCCCTCTGGGGCTCCGGGAGGGGTGCGGACGGGAAGGAAAAACCCCCCGACCGAGGTCTTCCTGCAGAACGTTCCCTCTCGTCCCCATGGGTTAGGATTCCCGCGGTTTCCAGGCTGCGGCCACGTGTGCGCCGGGCTGTCACCCCGGGCGTGTGCTCTCTGGCCTGAGCGTGGGGATCTCTTAGGGAGAGGGCTGCTCTGGGGTAGTCTCCAGGCGCCGAGGAGGCTGGATGGCGTCTGCCCCGCGGAGCTTCCTGGCTGCGCGCGCGCGTCAGCCCCCTCGGTGAAGCTGCGCGCTGATGAGTGTGGCCACGCGAGAAGGACACGGTGTTGGAGCTGGCCGGAGACGCGCAGTGGCCTTGAGCAAGGGGAGGAGACATTCCTGGTAGTTAGTAGAACACCTGGTCATCATTCCGAGAGGACCAACAGGTAGCTGGCCTGGAGGCCCCGAGTGAGCAGTGAGCAGCAAGGCTCATGATCTTTAAAGGGTCGGTTTTTTTTTCTTTCTTTTCTTTCTTTCTTTCTTTCTTTCTTTCTTTCTTTCTTTCTTTCTTT